GATTGGCAGGAAGGGACATGGGTAAGGGAGAAGACAAGAATGAGATTATGCTACAGCAGCTAAGCGGTTATTTATTGAAACCTGGGAGCCGATAGTGATTAGTGATATTTCTATTAAATTATATATATTTTATATTTCAGCATATCACGAATTTATTACTATGTAGTTATTACCATAGATTGTATAAAAGCATAATAATAATAATATTATTATTTAGTAAAATGTTTTCAATAAATCTAATAAAAATATGTCGTTTGTGAAAACTATTGAACTATTTTATTAATTAATTAATTATTTATTAATTGAACTGATCTTTCGGTAGAAAGAAAAATTCCAAWTAAAGTAGTTTTCTTCGATTAAAATTAAATACAATAATTCTTATCGTGTACCATAATAAAAGTGACCCTATCTGGCTACCTTGAATGTTTAAAATCTGTGATCAYAATATTAYATCAACGGACTAAGATTAATCTTAGTCCGTGATTAATCGTATTAATATTAAAAACAAATAATAATAATTTGGCTTTCACAGTCCAAACAAWTTTTCTTCATTCTATATATAATGAGTGATTTTTTATGTATTTCAACTGTTAATAGTCATTAGGTATATCGGCCTACTTGGAATACAAATTATTTTACGAAGTTGCTATTATAGTTCGATGACCCTATTCTGCTGCTTTTATTATTACATTTCTGAAAATCTGGTATTAAACTTTATTTTAATAAATTGAACTGAATATTTTTCTAAAAATTATAATAAAAACATTAATTACGTCTGCTTTCATTAGTATCATTTAAATATATTGTAAGTATTAAAGTATAACTATTTAAGGATTTTGAAATTTAGACAAATGGAGTAACGGACTACAAATCACTGTTATTTCATTCCCATTACTTAAATATTACATTATTACTTATAATATAACTATATAATTATCAGTATGTCTATATTATATAATATGTCCAGAAATATAGTCGTACAATAATACAATATTGTATAAAAGTAAAAAAAAAACTACCTATTGATTTATTCTAAAATGTATACAATATCATCATTTCTGTTCAGAATATTATACTTTAGGTATGAATAAATTAAAAGCATTAGCCGTAACTCTAGAAAAATCTACTTGATAAAAATTTGTTCATATTGTTTAATTACCTATTAGCCCATATAAATATTTTATACCTTAGATTGGGCGAAATGTTATTCTCTTTTTTCAAAAAAGWCGACAATTTGTGGGTTTACAGTTAAAACTGAATTAATTTTATGTGAGCGTAGGTAGTAAACGGGGACGGCGGCGTAGTTTCGTAGAATTGGCATTTTGGTAGAAGCAATTTTGATGATTAATAAAACAAATAACAATAACAATAATAATAATATTAAAATAAATGTTGTTTTTACTATTAATGAATAATGGTTGTAATAATGTAATAATAATAATAATGATAATAATAATAATAATAACGCGTACCTACTTAGTACTTACTGCCTAATCAGCCATATGGGTATCTACCCATACGAACACCGTACACCTGTTGCGTATCGCGATTACGTAAATATTATGTGCACAAACCTGCAGCTAGCCGTCGTATATGATACGGAAGAATTTCGGTTTTTATTTTAAGAATCCGTGTACCATATCTACAGAGCGGAGCAACAGGGGGATTTTCATATAATTAAGAACGAGGAACGAAAAACCCACCACAACCGTCACCAAAGTCACCGCCGCCGAAATACCGTGAAATCGTCGACGACCACTTATCGCAAGCGGGTCGGTCATTCGCGGGTCCAMGAACTATCGTTATTACTTATTATTATTATTGTTATAGTATATTATTATTGCATATTATACCAAACGTGTTTGGCACGTGCTCGCCAAGTCTTCGGTATTATTACACCTCCATGTAATATCATATTATTATCGTGCACGCGCGCACACTGCAGCAGTCGGCGCGTTTCATCAGAAACCACTGCAGCAGCTGCGATCGTTAGTCGTCGACGCGTTTTTCATTACATAGCGATATCGTATTATAGTCGTCGTCGTCGCGTTAAATGTCCATCGTCATCTTCACCGCCGGCACGCAGACGACAACTGCAACTCCTCCGGAACAATAATGTCCGACCGGTTCCGGACACACAACAGCGAATGCGGTGTTGGAGACCGTCACCACTGGCCGACGGCTTTCGGCGGGGCCCCGCGTCGGCCGAACAAAAAGTTTTCGACGGTCCGGAGACCCGTCACGGGAAGCGGCGAAGGACCGGATGTCAGACGACCGGACAACGGGATTTTGTTGTCATTGTCGTCTTCGCCGTCGTCGTCGTCGTCGTCGTCACAGTCGCCATCGCAGTCGCTGTCGTCCATGTCGTCCACTCCGTCTACGCAAAGCTACTATCAACCATTCCGTCGTCCAAACCCCAAAAACGTCGAAACCTGCGAGGCCATCGAATGGGAAGTCATGTCCAAACATTTTGCCAGGTGAGCGATATCGTTGTATTTATATTTATGTATGTATTTATGCA